TAGATTTATAGAATATTGTACATATATATACATACATATACTTTGGAATAACCTTCCACCTATGTTAAGAAGATCGGGAATTTCTATGGATTTATTTAAAAAAGAACTAAGGACATTTTTATTTTCTGTGAAATTGTTACCTTGATTTTAGTTTCATGTACAGTCACATATAACATTTTGTTTTGTTTTTTAGAGAACGCTCATGAAATTATTTAATTAGCGCTTAATAACTGTTTCTTAATAATAATATACATACATACGTACACACACACGCATATACAAATACAAACGTTCAGTTATTATTCAATTAGTGGACTTAACTTTCTTGTAACTAGGACATATTTATTGCTGGTCTTTAACCTGGGAGTCACTGGGGACTTGACAAACATACATACTTACATACACACATAAACACATACCTACATACATGCATACATGCGTGCATACATACATACATATATACATACATACATACATACATATATACTCACATACATAAATACACACATACATATATTCATGCATACATACATACACATTCAATACATAGATGAGTGATAATGTTATGTATGTATGTATGTCATTAGGTGTTGCGATAATTCGATTGAAGATAGTCTACATGTATGTTTGTATGTGTGTTTGTATGTGTGTATGCGCGTCTTTGTGTGTATGTGTGTCTTTTTGTTTATGTGTGTCTTTGTGTGTATGCGTATGCGTGTGTGTATATGTATGTGCATATGTACGTATATATTGAAGAATATTGATTTGTATATAATATTGTTTGGCTAAAAATAATTTTGAATTGATTTTAAAGTTTACATGCCAAGTTGTGTTGGTCAGAGTGAACGCGAGAGTTTCATTGCATGTGATCGCGCTTTCTTTACTGTGTGACGTCATCATCATCGTCGTCATCTTCTTCGTCATTGTCACCACCATCGTCGTCATCATCACCATCAGCTCACTAAATTATTATTTAAACATTGTTTGATGGTGAACGAACGAACGAATGAGCGGAAGAACGGATCAATAAAAATGAAGAGCTTATGATTCTTAGAAAGCCGATGATGACGATGATGACGCTGACGACGACGATGATGATGGAGTATAATAAGGTGATGATGATGATGACGATTATGATGATGATGATGGAGAAGAAGAATAAGAATAAGAAGATGATGATGATGATGATGAGGGTGGCGATGAGTATAATAGTTGTTGCATCGTTCACTAAACTATTACATTTTTTTTGTCTCTCACGTCATTCATTCATCAATTCATTCAGTCGTTCATTTTTCTTCTTCTTCTTCCTTCCGTTTATATTTTTTCACCTCTTCATTCATTCATTTTTTCGTTCTTTTGATCATTCCGCCATTCATCTTTGCAATCTGTCAATTATCGAAAATCCTCTCATCAAAAAAACCGGCCAAGAAATTCCCATGAATTATTAATTAGCCAACATGAATAATTAATTACCTTCATTAATAATTAATTAGCCTCAATGATTAATTAGCTTCATTAAAAATTAATAATTAACTACTTATAGCAGTGCTAAGCACCTTAACCATTACGCCTATAATAGTTATATATATGTTATATATATGTTATATATATGTTATAATAGTTATATATATGTTCATTCGAATAAATTATGTTAATTATGATAGGAGCATTACGTTGGCCAATTATGAATAAATTATGTTAATTATAATAGGTACATTACGTTGGCCTTCCCCATGGGAAATTTGGCGGCCCTTCGTACGTTTCGGGTGCTTAGAGCCCTGAAGACTGTGGCCGTGGTACCTGGTTAGTTTGAAAAATTAATATTCATTACTAATATAATTATTAATATATTTACTTATTATAATTTACTATTGTTGTTATCGTTCTACAATTTTTTTGAAATTTCATCACTATTCGTTCATTTGGTTATTAATTTATACACACGTGAATTAATTAATGAATACATTCCTCCATTCACTTGTTCATTCATTCGTTCGTTAATTCATTTTTTAATTTATTTATTCCTCATCTATTTATTCATTCGTTCGTACATTCAATCCGTCCTTCCATTATTGATTGCACCGTTCATTCGTTCACATGCAAGAATATTCAGTTTTGTTCATTCGTTCATTAACGCAAACATTTCTTTACCCTCCACAACGAGCTTCCGAAAAAAATCTCGGATGAATAGAACAAAGTAAAGATGTGAGCGAACGAACGAACGAACGAACGAACAAATGAATGAAGAAGTGATTAAACAAATGAATGATTGAAAGATTGAATGAATGAATTAATGGATGAACAACATACAAATGAGCTCTTAAAAATATTGAACGGTTGAACAATTAAACGAAAATTATTTGAATAACATAACGTAACGTAACAAGGATTATAGTGGTTCAGTAGATATCTCCATATGAGAACCACTGGATCGATTTTGACTGATAATATAGATTTATGATCCAAATCTTCCAAGTCTGACTTTGAACTCCTACGTTATAGGAACTGTTACAGTTTTTTCGTCCAGTTTATTCCAACGTTTTAAAACTCTCGAACTGAAAATCTTCTTTTATTGTTCCTACCTTTTCTTTGAAAAACTTGTACCGGTGCCCTCTTGTGTTTCTATTTTCTGCAAATTGGAAGAATAGGGATGAATCTATCTCATCTTTACCCGCCATGATTTTGTACGTCTTCTCCTGTCCCACATTTGTCCAAAGTTATCAGTCTACATCTCTTCAATCTTTCCTCATACGAGAGTCTTTCGCAATTGTTAACCGACCGGGCTGCCCGTCTTTGAACTGCTTCCAACACTTCTTCGAATAAATGAACAAGTGAACAAATGAATAAAAGAAAAACAAATTAAAGAAATAAAAACAAATAAAACAAACGAAAAAACAAACAAACAAAAGTGAATGAGTGATGGAAAAATAAGCGAAAGAACAAAATAAGCACGCTGACGAAATATTCAACTGCGAAAAAATATCCTAAAAAAGAACTTAACGATGTGAAAGATGATAGTAATGATCCTTTTATTCATCCAATCGATCTATTTCCGCTTTATTCTTTCTTTCCATCTATGGATTTTCTGTGCGTTCCACGTTTTTCCTCTATACAAACATGTGTACAGTTATATACGTCAGATCACGTCAGATCAGGTTTATGCACATACACACATACACACATATATATATATATACATATAATATATATATATATATATAGTGTGTGTGTGTGTATGTGTGTACGTGTTTGTATATGCGCATATATTGAATAAATTAAGGTATATAAAGTTGTATTTGTACCGGTATAACGGTATAACCGTATTCATGAGTGCCTGGTTTTTCAATATATAAATTGATGTGTGGGTGTGTGAATGTGTGGATGTATGAATGTGTGGATGTGTGAATGTGTTGTTGTGTGGATGTGTAGTTGTGTGCTGTGTTTCTTTCCTCTGCTTTCTCTTAATTGCATTAACTATCTAATCTTATTATAAATTTATATTCGCCACCCCGGTCTTAAATGTACCCTACACATACACACACACATACACGCATACATACATACGTATATACATACATACATACATAAATACACGCATACATACACACACACACATAAGCACATGGAAACACACACATTTATGTATATATGTGTGTACGTGTCTAAATGTGCCTGTATGTATGTATTGTGTATGTATGTATGTGTGTATGTATGTGTGTATGTATGTATGTATGCACAATTGTACATGCTTTACTATGTTTACATGCACTAAAGTGAGATGGTTGTTCTGAATGCACTGATATACATTTTTTCAAATCCAATTATTTTGTTCACCTTGTTCGTTTGTTCATGCGTTCTTTCTTTTTTTTTATTCATTTACTTATTCATTCTTTCATTCATTCTTACATCCATTCATTCGTTCGTTCGTTTATTAGTTCATCCGTCGTTCATTCATTATTTTCTCGTTTGTTTATTGATCCATTGATTCATCCATCCATTTACCCATCAATTCATTCATTTATTCTTTCATTCATTCATACATCCAACTATCCATCTACCTAATAATTATCCATTCATTCATTCACTCATTCATTCATTCAAGGGTTAAAAACGATTGTTGGCGCTCTCATGGAGGCCGTTCGAAGACTTCGTGACGTCATCATCCTCACATTGTTCGTTCTCTCTATTTTTGCTCTGATTGGTCTACAGATATATCAAGGTTATGATAATGATGATGACGATGATGACGTCAAAGATGACGGTGATATAAAAGGCTAATTATCGCGTTGTGATTCCCAGGTACCCTAATGAACAAATGCATACTCACTCCTGATTGGATGGCGTTGCCGGAAGTCAACGATACCGTTCGTGACGTCACCATTAATAACAGTATCAACAACGACACCAACAGCAACAATAATAAAAATAACGGTTATAATGTTATAAACAGCAACAATAATGAAAACAACAACAATATCTATGTGGAAACATTCGTTCTTGAGAAACGAAATGACATCAATATTAATGTTGGGAATATATATTTACTAAACAACAACAAAAACAGCAACAACAAAGTCTCGAGCAGAAATATAAACAATTCTAATCTAACCACTTACAACGATGTATTAATTGAACAACAACAGCTAAACCAACAACGGTACAACAACAGCCTGCTTATATACAACAAAAACAACAACATCAACGAAATCATCATCAACGTCAACAACAACATTGACCACAACAACAACACAAACAACAGCATTTCAATAGATTACCCATCGCAATTGTCAACAATCTACAGCAACAAACAACACAGCAGCAGCAACAACAACAATTTTTTTAAACAACTATTCAACAAAATTGTACCTCAACAACAACACAGCAACAAATCCGATCAGCTGACTGGCGATGATTATTTCTTACTACATATCAAAAACGAAAGTTGTTCTTGTTTGTTTGTTTGTTTGCTTGTTTGTATGTGTTGATGTCTCTTAGTCAGGTTATTAGTGCATTTTCCTCATTGAAAAATGTTTCTTACCGTCATCATCATCATCCCAACGTCACAAAACATCCTCTTCCTCCTTACCACCTCATCCACATCATAATCATCTTCATCCTCATCATCTTCATCATCATTTACTCGCAGGTAATTGGTTGATTCTTCCTAATGGGTCTCCTAAGCTCTGCGGAAATGGTTCGGGATTGGGGTACATAAATTTTTACCTCTTGTGCATTTTTAAATTTTTCTTCTCCTTCTTCTTCTTATTATTATTATTTTGACCTAATTAATTATAAACTAACTCACCCAATAACTTTTTGACCTGTTTTCAGAACTTGCCCGCCAACGCACTTCTGCATACCGGTCGGTTCGAATCCGAATTTCGATTACACGAGTTTCGATAATTTCGGTTTCGCCCTGCTCTGTGCCTTCAGGCTGATGACGCAAGATTATTGGGAAAACCTCTATCAGATGGTCTGGGTTTTCCCGGTTTTTTGACATTTATTTATTTTTAAAAGGACGTTTGGTTTTTAGTTTCAGTTTCATTATTCTAGATCATATTTCAGGTTTGTTCTGTGTGTGGTGTTGTTCGAGTTTGAAATGAAAGATTTAAAATATGAACAATTTTAAATCTTCATCGTATAAAAACCTTGGTTTGTTTTTTGATTTCACGATGGTGCTTTCATTTCAATGTATTTGACCGTTGAATGGATGAATAAACGAACTAGCAAACGAACTAACTAACTAAATAAATAAACAACTAAATAAATTTGTAATTAATTGATTAAATAAACGAATTAATTAATAACTAAATAATGTGTTTTAAACGAAATGCCTGCAGGTGTTAACGACAAACGGACAGTTCCACATCGTCTTCTTCATCCTGGTCATCTTCATGGGGTCCTTCTACCTGGTCAACCTGATACTGGCGATCGTCGCTATGTCGTACGATGACTGCCAGAAACAGGAGCAGTTGGAGGACGAGGGGGAAGAAAATGATGACGAAGACGACGATGACAAAAGTGATGATGATGATGACGAAGACGATGATGAAGTAGTTGTTGGCGATGGGGGTCTCAAGATTTACGACGGGGTGGTCTGCAGTGGTGATGATGAAAATGTAGATAGAGATCTGGAGAATTTGATGAGGGTAAGGTTTTGTCATCGTCGTCGTCGTCATCACCATCATTTCAATTATTATTATTATTATTAATATTATTATTATTAATATTATTAATCTTATTATTATTATTATTGCCCATCATCATCATCACAATCATCGTCGTCATTCCATCAGGAGCAGATGGCTCCCGATCGAATGTTCCATGCATTCTCCGATCATCATCATCATCATCATCATCATCGTAACCACGGAAACGACCTTGACATTACTAGTTATCTTCCGGTTTGTGATGATGATGATAACGACGATGGTGGTAGTAGTTATGATGATGATGATGGTGATGATGATGACAATGATGAGGTGGACGATGTCGATGATAATATTTACATTATTCATTTTCCTCAATTCAATCAAGACTGTACTTATTTCCAACAACAAAAAAACGCTTGAAACTTCGTGGCTTGAAAACAGCAACAACAACAACAACAATTCTTACAACTCATTATCCAATCCCAGTAGCAACAATCGCAGCCACAGCAACCACAGCAACAACAGTATTCCGTATTTGGACGACGACGAAGCCAGCCTACGTAGACAAACTCCCACAACGATACAGCGAAACAGCAACACGTCAACCCACCAACAACCAACGACACAGAACAACAAAACATCACTGTACCACGAACAAAACTACCTCACAATACCTTCTCCAGACCCACCCCGCTACAAACAACAACACCCCTACCACCACCCTCCACAACAACAAGAGGCCAGCAGACATCACCATGGTAGCTGGGATGGACTGCCTGTCATCTACCACCACCAGAACGCCAACAACTTCCCCCAAAAAAGCTTAGCTAACAAAGTAAAAGCCGCTCACAGAGCCAGTTTGAGACGGCAAAGTCTACGGATGAGACGTCTGTCGGTCGATGTTGCTCGGACTGCCGCGACAGGCTTCAGCGACGGTGATCAACTTTTGGCCACTACTGATGATGGTTCGAAATTGGCATTAAGCAAGGGAAAGCAAGACGCGGAAAATTTGACAAAGGAGAAAATTTTTGAGGCAACTCACTTTTTGTGGTTTAAAAAAAAGTTTGTTCCTGAATCTAAAGAAGAAAATGAACAACAACTACAGCAACTGCAACCACAACGAATGCCAGCACAGCAACGACATGTAGATACGACTAACAATTTAACTTCTTCACCTCATAACCATATCGTTAGTACAAATTTGATTTTTGACTTTTTAACATTGGTCGACACCTCTTACAAATATTTTTGAATTTCATTATTATGCTATTAATTTTTATAAATAATTAAAAAAATATTTTTGAGTTTTCTTATTTATACTCTTAACTTTTATAAATAATTAAAAAAATACAAATCAGAAGTTAAAAAACTTCCCGGAAACACGTGACGATACGATTCACCAGTGTCAGACGGACGATGACGATGTTGATGTTGACGATGATGATGACGACGGTCAAATGACATCTATCGCATACCAAGGTTTACACAAGTATCAATGTAACAATTTCTACAACAAGTCGCTAATAATTTTAAATAATTCAAACATTAAACGCCATCGTCCTCATTTTAAAATCCAATTTGACTTTTTTTTTAAATTTCAAACTTCCAGACTTGAAATTATTGCAATCCTTTCTGAGAGACAGCAAAAAAGGTTGGTAAAAAACTATCTTTTTAATTCGCACACACATACACACACACACAAACACCAACAAACATCTCAAAAAAAAAAACAAAAACAAAAAATTCAAAGGCGCAAAATCAAACAAAAATGGCTGTCAACCACATTACGTGAAACGTTACTTAAGAGAAAAATGCAACTACCTGCTGTATGGATGGCAGTGCTGTCCGCAATGGATAAAGTTCGCCTCCATTGTCGAACTATTTGTCATGGATGCCTTTGTGGACCTGTTTATAACACTGTGCATCGTCGTCAACACAATTTTCATGGCTCTAGACCACGAGGGCATGTCGGAACACCTCGCTCAGGTCCTTTCCGTTGGAAATTACGTTAGTTACGATTTTTATGATTATTTTTTTGTGAAATGTGATTTTTGGTTATAAATAACAACAATGAACGAACAAACAAAAATGATATAGGTATTCACGGCCATCTTTACGATCGAAGCCTTCTTGAAGATAGTGGCCCTAGGCTTGCAGCGTTATTTGCAAGACAAGTGGAGCTGCTTCGATCTCATCATTGTCGTATTGAGTCTCGTCGAGTTGGGTCTTTCCAATATTAAAGGACTGTCCATATTGAGATCGTTTAGACTTGTAAGTTCTCGTGTGGTGTTTTTGATTGACTGGTTCGATTGGTAGGTTGATCGATTGCATGGTTGATTGATTGATTGGTTGATCTAATGATTGTTAATTGATTGATTGGGTGGTTAATTAAATGGATAAATGTTTTTATGCCTGGTTGGATTTATTTTTTAAACACTAACAAAGACAAAACCGTCAAACGCAACAAACAGCTTCGAGTTTTCAAGTTAGCGAAATCCTGGCCGACACTCAACCTCCTAATTGGCATAATAGGCAGGACAATGGGGGCGCTAGGCAACCTGTGCTTCGTGCTCGCCATCATCATCTTCATCTTCGCAGTCATGGGCATGCAACTCTTCGGTGAAAATTACACGGTGGAGAAGTTTGGGGAGATGCCGCGGTGGAATTTCTCGGATTTTCTTCATTCGTTCATGATCGTTTTCAGAGTTCTATGCGGGGAGTGGATCGAATCCATGTGGGCATGCCTCTTTTGCTCCGGAATCATTTGCATTCCTTTCTTCCTCCTCACCATGATTATCGGAAATTTAGTCGTCTGTTTCGCTTTCGTTTTCGAATTTTTAATTTTCTTTTCATTCCTGTGTAGGAGTGCGCTGTTTTTAATTATTTCAATCTTATTTACAGTCTGAAAAGTTTAAAACTTTAAAAAAAATTTAAAAACCATAGGTTCTCAACCTCTTCCTCGCTCTCCTACTCAGCTCATTTGGCGCCGAGAGTCTTCAGGGCGCCAACCAATCAGACGAAAGCGGTGGTGAACCGAATAAGTTGCAAGAAGCAGTTGATCGAATAACTCGGTTCGGTCGGTTCGTCAAATCGCATCTACTCGTATGTATTTATTACCGACTGAAGCGAGGAAATCGCAAGAGGAAGAAGTACGTCCCGATTTATAGAAAAGTGGATTTCGATGGAAAAATTTATTTCGAGAATGATGAAGCGGATGACGACGATGAAGTCGTTAATGATGACGATGATGATGATGGCCGGGATAATAGTAATAACAATAATAACAACAATAATGGTAATAATAATAATAATAATGATGGTAATAACAGAAGAAAAAGTTACAAAGACGATGATGAAAATTATCATCATCGTCTTTCTACTCTGCCCCCTCCTTATCTTCGTAACTATCATCATTCACGTCATCATCCACGTCATCAGCAGCTGCAGCAGCATCGTCAGCAGCGTCAACATCGAAATGAAGCTGATGGAGTTGATAGTGAGGATGTTGGGGATTGTAGAATTGAAAGAAACATTTCCAATGGCTTTAGTGAAAAACTCGTACAAAAATCAAAATGGAGTTTCAAGGACCTAAAGTTGAAAACATTTGTTAAATATTCTTCGTTCATCAAAGCTGGACACTACAAAAATGAACCTTGTGACATTCAACTTCAAAACCAGCAACAACAACAACGACAACAACAACATCTATTATCGCAACAACAACAACAACCACTTCTGCTATATGAAACCCAGCAATATCACGACCATCAATATCATGGACCCTACAACGAAAGTCATCAATACAGCATTAAAAAACATCAACAACATCAACAACAGCACCAACAACAACAACAATTAAAACAGCATCAACAACAACAAATATTTCTGGAAAACTTACTCATGCAACTACCGTACTCTTCAACATTTTCCGGCTGCAATATTTCGACGCCATCTTTTGAAAAAGATCACAAATCGTCCAACAGAAAACAATTCCTAAAAATTACAGACTTATCCCAGTCCAGTTCGTCTATTTCCGTTTCCGGCTTGAAGGAGGAAGAGGAAGAAGATGATGAAGAAAAAACAGAAATAGTTTATTACATCAACGAGGATGATGATGATGAAATCGATGAAAACGTCAATTACAGTGGCAACAACAACAACAACAACAACTGCAATAATAATAATAACAGCAACAACAATAATAATAACAACAACAATAATAATAATAATAACAACAACAATAATAATAATAATAATGTTGATGACGATGACGATTCGAGTTCGTCAAGCGTATCATCGGTTGAAATGTACGAACGAAATTTGCGACTTTTTTGCCAGCAGCGAAGGGAGATGATAAAATTGAAAAGCGCCTCAAACAACAACAACGACAACAAAGACAATACAAAACAAGATGATGATGATGACGATGACGACGACGATGATGATGTTGACGACGACGATGATGATGATCGCGATGGTGGTGGTGATGATGATGACGACGAGGCAACAATGGACCCGGGAGGCCAGAATCCAATTAGTGATATTCACACGGCAACTGCCATTAAGCACGTGACACAACAAAATGGCGACTTAACTCAACAACAACAACAAACACAACAACAACAACAGCAGCAAGGATTATTGAACATAGAAGCCACGGAAGTTAAAATAGAGTACATAGTATATCCGGACGATTGCTGTCCAGACTCAGTAACTATGCAGTTTAAAAAATGTTTCAACAAAAGATTGAGATCCGAAATAAGTGGAAGTTTGGTGGGAAGATTTTTCTGGAAGGGAAGAACGCTTTGTTACCAGCTGGTGGAGCATAAGTGGTTTGAAACTTTCATCATCTTCATGATCATCTGTAGCAGTCTGACACTGGTACGTGCTTCTCTTTAAAATACTTACGTAATCAATTGTGACTTGACCTACCGGGAAGTCTGTTTTTAAATCAAATAGATGAATTTATGTATTTGTTTGAAATATTTCAACTACGTACAAAAATTTAAAAATAATCAACGAATTAGAAAATGGAAACAAGTAAACTTTATCAAAAAAACAACAACAACAAAACTCAAACGCAGGCGATAGAAGACAAAAACATAGGCGAAAAACCTCTCTTGAAAAAGATTTTGAAATATTTGGACAAATCATTCAGCATCATCTTCGTATTTGAGATGCTCATCAAACTGATGGCGTACGGATTCAAGAAGTATTTCACTGACGCCTGGTGCTGGCTCGATTTCATCATCGTCGCTGTGAGTGAGTGAGTGAGTGAGTGAGCGAGCGAGTGAGTGAGTGAGTGAGTGAGTGAGTGAGTGAGTGAGTGAGTGAGCGAGCGAGCGAGTGAGTGAGTGAGTGAGTGAGTGAGCGAGTGAGTGAGTGAGTGAGCGAGTGAGTGAGTGAGTGAGTGAGTGAGTGAGTGAGCGAGTGAGTGAGTGAGTGAGATAACGAGTTCTCTTTCTCTTTTTTGTTTTCAACTCTTTTTTCTCTCTTTTTTACACCAGATTTCTCTGATAAGTCTTGCAGCAGAAGGTGCAGGAATGGGAAACATCGGGGCTTTCAGAGCCTTGAGGACATTGAGGGCCTTAAGGCCCCTTAGAGCTGTTTCGAGATGGGAGGGAATGAAGGTAGTTATGATTATGATGCTGTTGTTGTTGATGGTAATGATGATGATCACACACACACACGTACACACACACACACGTACACACACACACGTACAGGTAGTTGTGAACGCCTTGATTCAAGCCATCCCAGCCATCTGCAACGTTCTTCTCGTCTGCTTGGTTTTCTGGCTCATATTCAGCATCATGGGTGTCAACTTATTTGGAGGTTGTTTTTTTTTTATTTTTTCTCATTTTTTTCAAATAAATTGTTAATATTCTATCAAAATGATTGATATTAGTGCTTATCTGAATTAATTTATGTTGATTAATCATTTTATGTCAATTATTCATTTTATGTTAATTAGGCAGCTTTGGGAGGTGTCTAGATGAAACAGGCGAAGTGGCGAATGTCAGCCTGATATACAACAAAAATCAGTGCCTAGCGCTAGGTGGGTGGGACTTGTCGACGGCCAGTGACGTCATGACCAGCGATGTGCCGCCTCATAATTATTCATGGTACAACCCTAAAATTAACTTCGATCACGTTCCCGTTGCCTACCTCGCTCTTTTTCAAATCGTTCGTATTGATTTTCGTTTTTTAGATCAATTAACATATTATAACTTTTTTTGGTTTTTCCTCTAGTCTCACTTTCCAATTTAATGAACTAATTAATTAAATTAGATTGAACTTAATTAAATAATTGCTTATTAAACAGGCTACATTCAAAGGCTGGATAGACATTATGAATTACGCAATTGATAGTAAGGAGGTAATAATCGTCAGTTGTCTCTTCTCTCATTCTTTCATTCATTTATTTATTCATTTGTTCGTTTAGTTTTCCACTGATTCAATCACTCACTAATTGTTCAATCTTTCATTTGTCCGTTCAATCTTTGAGTAATAATAATAATTAATGATGATGATTATGATGATAATTAGCCAGGGCTACAACCGGAAAGGGAAGTGAGGGTCTATATGTACCTCTACTTTGTCTTCTTTATAGTCTTTGGATCGTTTTTCACCTTAAACCTCTTCATCGGCGTCATCATCGATAACTTCAACATGCAGAAGAGGAAGGTCGGTCGGTTGGTTGGTTGGTTGGTTGGTTGGTTGGTTGGTTGGTTGGTTGGTTAGTTGGTTGGTTAGTTGGTTGGTCAATTGATTGATTGATCGGTTGGTTGGCTGGTTGATTTGTAAAGAATTTTATTGAATGTCTAATAGATCGATTGAAATCATAAATGATTCTTAACGTACAGTACCTAGATGTCTACACATGCACAATCAAAAATACACTAAAAACAAAAACAAACAAACAAACACACAAACACACACACAAACACACAAACACAAACACGCGCATACACACGCACACGCACGCACAAACGCAGTCTGGCTCTCAACAACTATTCATGACGGAGGACCAAAAAAAATACTACAACGCCATGAAGAAACTCGGCTCGAAACAGCCGCAGAAACCGATACCTAGACCGAAACTAAAATGCAGCATGATCATCTTTCAAGTGATATCCAATCAGAAATTTGACGTAGCTATCATGATAGCTATCCTCCTTAATATGATAACGATGGCTGTCGAACATTACGAACAACCAGAGGAACTCACATTTTACTTGGCGGTCGTCAATCAGGTAATGTGTTGTGAAGCTTTTTTTGAGGTCTGCTGTTTCTTGGCGGATCAGCTTTTTTTTATTTTCCAGTTATTTGTTGTTTCGCTTTGTCTTGTTGTTGGTTTGTATGAAATACGCACACGTACACGCACATACACGTACACACCACACACACGTATACACCACACACACGTACACATACGCGCACAGACACACACACACGCGCGCACACACTTACATACATGTAGCACCATTGTTGTTTTTAATAATGATTAGTATAAAATAAATTCACACTCGTAAATATAATATATATAATATATACTTACACACACACAAACACAAACAAACACACACACAAACAAACAAACACACATGCACACACACAAACAAACACACATGCACACACACAAACAAACACACACAGATATTCATAGCGATATTCACGATTGAGTGTCTGATGAAGTTGATAGCCCTCCGGTGGTACTACTTCAAGCAGCCTTGGAACGTTTTCGACTTCATCGTCGTTTTCATGTCCATATTAGGTATTGGCGCTGTTACGTCATTCTGAATGACGATGACGTCATTGTGTGAAGAACGATGATGAAGATGATGAGTTGATGATGGCAACAGAATAAGAACCTATATTATCCTACAGCGCACTCACACGCTTAAATCTATTCTCTCTAATACACATACTCACACACGTACCCGCACCACACATTCATACAACGCGCACACATTCACACACATACACATTCACACACATTCACGCACACACACACATTCACACACATACACATACAGGTCTAGCAATGAAAGAAATCATCGAGCAGTATTTCGTCTCACCGACTCTGCTTCGAGTTGTTCGAGTATTTCGAGTCGGTCGAATTTTGCGACTAGTCAAATCGGCCAAAGGAATTCGCACGTTGCTATTCTCACTGGCTGTTTCACTGCCGGCTCTGGTGAACATCGGTCTCCTCTTATTCCTCATCATGTTTATCTACGCCATTTTCGGCATGTCCTTCTTCATGCACGTGAAATACAACAACGGCATTGAAGAGCTGTTCAACTTTGAAACTTTCTTCCGCAGTATGACGCTACTGTTTCAGATTTCTACATCGGCTGGGTGGGATGGGGTGCTGGCCGGGTTGATGATTGAGCCCCCCTTCTGCGACCCGGGACATAGAGGAGCCAGCCACACCAACCAACAACGAAGCAATCATCATCTACATCACCTACGGCAACATCTACGGAAGGAGAATATTTCAAGTGGTGGAGGTGTTGTGGATGAAGCGAGCCACACCAGCGATCCTGTCTGGAGTAACAATATGAATAGTAGTAATTATACAGACATAGTATTAAGGACGGTACTTCCATATTTGTATCAAAACAACAGCACGACGTCATCGTCGTCGTCACTACTTAACATGACACAAGATCTTTTTAAAACTAACATTTCACGCGTATCATCACCTTCATTTTCATATTCATCGCCGCCCACCTTTCAAGATGTACCAACAACCATTCAGTCGGATGATCACGTACCGACTACGGACTACCCCTGTCACGTCATTTACGACGATTTCACCGACATCGAGGACGATCGACCGAACGGAGATTGCGGTAATTCAGGGATGGCCGTACTCTACTTGGTCAGTTATTTAGTGGTCAGTTACTTAGTAGTCATCAACATGTACATCGCTGTTATATTAGAAAACTTCAGCCAAGCCACTGATGACATCCGACAAGGGCTGACACAGGACGATTTTGACATGTACTACGAAGTTTGGGAAAGGTTCGACGAAAAAGCCACACAGTTCATACCATTAGAAATTATGAATCGATTCGTCGATGCGCTAGAACATCCGCTCCGAATACCGACACCGAACCGATGTAAACTCGTCAGTCTCAACATACCGATATGCGAGGGCGATAAGGTCCATTGCTTAGACATTCTTGACGCCTTGACTAAGAACTTTCTTGGTACTAGCGGTGACATGGGTGGCGAGTTAGACCGACTGAAGAATAGTATCGGTTATAAGCCCATCACCACTACGCTGAGAAGACGACGAGAAACTTATTGCTCTGTCGTCATACAGAGGGCTTGGCGTAAGTATAAAAATAGTAATAAGGGTAATGTAAATAAATAAGAAACAATCAATAAAAATAAAAAATAGTTAATTATAATTATAATAATTATATATAATTATAATAATTATAATTTATAATTATTACAAAATAATAATAAACATATTAATTATGATGTGTAGCGAGAAAATTATCAAGTTATACGGTTGAGATTGTCAGTGTTGAGATAAGATTGAGATTGTCAAAGATTTGTTAGGTATTTATATTTCCATTGCACTTTCATATCTACAGACTCTATTTTTAACTATTTAACCGCCTGTTGCTTCAATAAGAAAAGAAATTATTTTATTATTTTTTAATAGAAATATATATATATATATATATATATATATATATATATATATATATATATATACGTATGACAAAATATTGATTTGTTTGTAGGATTAATTTTATTCACGTCTGTTAACTAATTATATATTAGGCGATTTATAGGTTAATTTTTTATGTTTTAATGTTTAAATTAAATGCATACTGTGTTGTTTCTTTGCTTGTATGTTTGTTGTCGATGTTGTTGTTAATGCTGTTGTTGTTGTTTTTTGGCTGTTGTTTTTGTGGCTGTTGTTGTTGTTGATGTCGTTGTTGTCGTTGTTGTTGGTGGTGTTGTTTTGTTGTTGTAACTTTTATTGTTACTCTCCACTTCCCATATTTGAATGTTTTTTGTCCGCCATTCCCCGAGTAATTTTTTTCAATTTTTAGAATCTTTGTTTAGAGTATTTAGTGTTTTTACTCTCTTCATCACGTGCCTGACACACAGTTAAATTAATTATGCACCGCTCACTTTTATATATTAAAAATTGAATTGTATATATTTGTATGATACAAGAAAAAGTTATGTGTGTGGGTGTGTGTGTGTGTGTGTGTGTGTAGAAATTGTTATTTGTATTCTTAAAATAGCAATAATATCGATAATAATAATTGCTAATTATAATTATGTTATGTTATATTCCTGTAGATTATTATTATTATCATTTAATAATTTTTATTGTTGTTGTTCTTATTATTATCATTTTGCCGATTTGAAAATAAAATTATTATTATTATTATTACTATTTTTATTATGAGTGTCTGTTCGTTTGGCGCTTTTCTAACTCTTCTCAAAAACGCCATTAATTAAAATCCTAAATTGTCCAGAGAAGACAAATAAGCTCTCAATTCCC